CCCAGGCTGTACGGAGCACCCCACCCCAGCCCCGCCCCAGCTCTCCGAGGCTCCTCTTTCTTCAGCCTTCGGGAACTTGTCCCCGAGCTCTGGTCACTCCTGTCACATGCACAGGCACTCCTTCCAGGCCCACCCCCTCGGCTCTCGGACCTCCCCTCCCCACCCACACCCTCGGTTCCGCTATGGCTCTAGTCCTCTCCCCGTCTTATCTTCGTGCTCAGACACCTTTCTTAAGATAGCTCAGGGGCCAGATGGTGGCACAGCAGTAAAAGGCAATGCTCTCAGGAGTCAATGGCGCGTGAGAAGGCTCCCAGTTCAAACCTGGAGACCTCCCTGAAGACGCTGGGCGCCCGTGCCCACGACCCAGGACTGGTGACGTTGGGAGTGGGCTGCAGCACCAGGACCCTGTTTGGGGTGCTGCTTATTTCTCTTGGTCACTCATGGAATGAAAAAAAACCCAAAGACAGCTCAAGTTCCTCTCTTGAGTCTAAGGGCTTCCCCAGCTCTCCCAGGACTCCACCCTGGGGCCTGGCCCTTCCCCCAGGACTTGAGCGCTTGCCTGCCCACCCCTGCCCGGGGGACTCTAGGAACTGGCAGAGATTCAGTTGGCTGCCCCATTTCCTTCAAGAAATATCCAACAAAGAAACTAGCTCACTGTTCTTAAAATTTATTTTTAACTGACAAATCATAGCCGTATTACATTCACCAAGTACAGGGTGCCGCTCCGTACGCGGGCACAATGTGGAATGAGTAACTCAAACGAAGCGACACACTTGGCACCTCACTTACCACTTGTGGTGAGACACGGACACATATGCTCTTGGTTACTGTGGCTTTAACTTTAGCCACTCTGGGGACTCTGGTGACATCACATCGCGGTCTGATGTTGCGTTTCCATGGTGAGTAATAACGCCAAACACGTTTTCACTTACTGCCACTGGGCGACCTTCTGTGAAGTGCTCAAGTTTCCCTCTTCCCCCGGATCTGGTACCCACCTGAGGGACTCTTCCTGGTTCCTGTGAGTCTTTGGTCAGGTGTATGCAGGCGAACACCTTCTGGGCTGCTGCCTGCCCTCCCCTGCAAGGGCATCGTCTGATGAACAAACTGTCCTTTCGATGAAATCTGCCTTTGAGTTTTCTATTGAGTGTCTGCTGTGCACTGAGAAATCACTGTCTAACCTAAGGCTGGACAACCGTCTCCTGTTTCTTCTAGAAGTCTGACAGCCTTTTCTAAACTCACTGCACTCACAGAGGGTCTTCTGGAATAATTCACTAATAGCAACACTGGGAGTAATGATCACAGGAACAATAGTTAACACGCACTGAGCTCACGCAGGACTCCAGATACGCCGTCGAGGCGGTCACGTGCACATTTAGTTTCCACGGCGGCCTGAGGCAGATGTGATTATCCCTATGTACAAAGCACGCACCGTACGGACCACGCACAGCGCACTAAGCAGGTTTCACAGTGTGTCACAGGAAGCAAAGGGTGGGACAAGGACCCTGGTAGGGCATATGCCACAGCAGATTTCCCCACACACGACATGAGCAGGACCAGATCTGAACTGGGACGTGGAATGGTACTGGCAGGCTTCCATGAACTCATTCCACTAGCCCAGCCAGTAAAAGCGTCTATGCTCTGTGTGTGGGACCAGTAAGAAAAAGTGATTTTTCTGCTCTCCAAATTTGCCTCTAGAATGATTTCTGTTCAGGGCCGGCCAGTGGAATGGTGGTTAAGATGGCCGGATCCCACATCATCAACTGTGTAGTTCGAGTCTCGAACCCAGCAGCTTGAAAATGACATGGGCACATGTGCGTATGTGCCCAAAAATCCTGAAAGGAGGGAGAGATGGAGAAGGGAATGCCACCGACCTTTCCCCGTAGGGGAGCTTTCTCATTTTCCCTCACTGTCTCCAGTGAGTGCACATGCCTGCTGGCAAAAACAAAAAAAAAAAAGAAAGAAAGAAAGAGAGAGAGAGAGAGAGAGAGAGAGAGAGGAAAAAGAATGACTTCTGATTTCTATAAACAAAACAGTAACTACTGAAGGCTTTCCCATGGTAAACTGTCACGAGGAAAGGACTGTCGTGCAGAGGCCTTCGCACACGCCACTGCGGCGTTGGTGCCTCAGCTATCGTGGATTTGCTGGTGCTCTCTGAGGTGGCTCGTATGACTATATGCCTCCCCACACTCCTTGCACTCGTGAGCTTTCATGCCAGCGTGAGTTTTCTGGTGCTGTGTGAGCTGGTGGCCGTGACTAAAGGACTTCCCGCACTCTTTACAGCCATAGGGCTTCTCCCCTGTGTGAATCCTCTCGTGTTTAACAAGGCTGGACCCGTAAATAAACGCCTTCCCACACTCCTTACACTTGTAAGGCGTCTCGCCCGTGTGGATTCGCTCGTGCTGGGTGAGGTGGTAGCCACAGTTGAAGGCCTTCCCACACTCCGTGCACTTATACGGCTTCTCGCCCGTGTGAATTCGCTCGTGCTTAACAAGGCTGGAGCCCCAGCGGAAGGCCTTCCCGCACTCCTTACACTCGTGGGGCTTCTCCCCGGTGTGGATCTTCTGGTGCTGAGTAAGGTAATTGACGCGGGTGAAGGCCTTCCCACACTCCTGACACTCGTAGGGCTTCTCGCCTGTGTGGACTCTCTTGTGCTGGATGAGGCTTGACCCGCAGATGAAGGCCTTCCCGCAGTCCTTGCACTCGTAGGGCTTCTCCCCACTGTGGATCCTCTTGTGCTGGATGAGCTTGTACACGCGGCTGAAGGTCTTGCCGCAGTCCTTGCACTCGTAGTCCTTCTCCCCGGTGTGGAAGCGCTGGTGCTGAGTGAGCTCGTCGCCGCGCCGGAAGGCCTTCCCGCAGTCTTTGCATTCGTAGGGCTTCTCGCCCGTGTGGATCCTCTTATGGATGACCAGGCTCGAGCCCCAGCGGAAGGCCTTCCCGCAGTCTTTGCATTCGTAGGGCTTCTCGCCCGTGTGGATTTTCTGGTGCTGAGTCAGCTGGTTACCCCAGCGGAAGGCCTTCTTACAGTCTTTGCATTCGTAGGGCTTCTCGCCGGTGTGGATCTTCTGGTGCTGACTGAGCTGGTAGCCACGGCTGAAGGCCTTCCCGCACTCCTTACACTCGAACGAGCTCTCCCTGCTAGGGAGCCTCTGCTGAGGCCGAGGCGGCGTGCTGTCCTTGTTGGCAGGTGTTTTTCTAGAGCCACTTGTCGCTTGATTCGAACAGCCCTCTCGAGCACGCGGTGGTCTTCCCACCGCACCCTCACACATCCAGGTAAGGCCCAGGGATTTACGTTTTCCATCTGAATTCCTTTTGGAAAAATTGATTTCACAAATGTTCTTTTCTAAACACTTAGCCTCATATGCGGATTCCAAATCTGGAAAAAAATAACAAATTTTGTTTTCTTTAAAAGAAAACAGTAACAACCTTAACCACAAACTGAAACTTCTCCTACAAATTCTCTAGTCGAGTAAGTATGAATTAACTAAAGCTTCTGATAAAGTGTAGACTTCCCTTCTGGCACCACATGCTCAATGAAAGACA